GCATCTACTCCACCATCATGAACAAGCGAGGTAAGAGGTATCTGCTCCGATAACAAATTGCAACGAGCCAGACAATCGTGAGAAGGTTTGACAACACGATCAGGCAAATAGCCACAATGCACTCAGGACGGAACCCGTAGCAATGCAGAATAAGTCATGAAAAACAGTCAATATAGTCCCAGAATAAGCAGCGAGTAACCAGAAGTTCAACAAGCGTAGAGATAACGAGGGAGGATAGTTTCATTCATAATCAATAATAAAATTGGTACAGCTCTTCCATTTCCCCCTCTCCTCCAGAATCTTCTCCCACCAGCTCGCCACCTCGGCATGCAATCTCCCTCTACCAGAGATGGTGCCCGACCTCCAGCATCAATACTCGGCTATGGAGGTGGGTGCCTGCCTTCCTTCAGCCTCCTGAAGTGTACCACAGCTCCAGTATCACCAAGCCAACAGGTAAGTCCAGGAAAGCTTCCCACACACTCTCTTGATTCCTTCTCTACCTTTGTCTCACTTCTCACTACTCGCTGCTTATTCTCGGGCCTCATTCAGAGCTTTGTGACTTATTCTGAATTGTGAGGAGTGGTCCCGTTTTGAGTGCATTAGGACTACTTGCAAGTTCATGTTGTGGAAGTTTCTCATGCCTGTCGGGTTCATTGCATTGTACACATTCTGAAAAAGAGAAAATGTTTGTTTATCTTGCTGCAGTTGCCTCCCCAATTCACTTCGTCATGCATAAGCGTCTGAAAGATTTATATGATTTGTTTTCTTGGAGTAGTCATCCACTCCCCCACTCCTTGCCAATTTTCGCTGGTGTAACTGCCCCAGAAAATAAACAAACAAAAAACAAACAATTCAGTAGAACGGAAACATGTAAAATGCTTGGAAATCAACACAAATGCACATCGAGGGGAGAGATTCTGCATAATCACCTGTAAGAAACATTTCGCCAATACGTTCGAAACATTCTCTTGAAAATGGTGAGACCCATCAATCCTGGTGAGGCTGCGTACCCCTTCGCCGTTGGATTATAGCCCAGCTTTCCCTTTCCATGCCTGAGGTGAGTCAGAGTCTCCTCTGCCATGTTCAAGAATTACACAGGTGCGTTTAGAAAAACAGCAAGCAGACAAACAGCAAAATTGGCAACATTGTAAGTTGTAACAATGTTCAGAAATCTTAACACTTCAGAAGGAGCGTGGACTCGGTGAAGGAAATTTGGTGGTCCGGATGCCATTTACAAACACGCTTCCCCTTGTAAAGAAAATTCCGTAAAACAGTACTAAGGCTAGGTTACCAGCCTGGTGGGGGGGGGGGGGGGACTGGGCTTTCAAGCGGCCCGGGGTGACCAAGATCTAGACCTGGACATGCAGAGTGCATAGACAGCCAAAGACGAGGTTG